TTTTTTTTTTTTTTTTTTTTTATGACAACACCATGTTAAGACCAAAAGAGTCAAGAAATGACCATAAAAGAGACATAGATTCCTTAACACGTCTTCAAAAACCAGAGACCCCTTCAGTTAGTCACAAAACCACCCAGATGTCATTTTTTCCAAGAGTTCAGCTAAACCATCTACTAAGGAGAAAAGTACCAGCCTCTATGAAGTTACATAAGTAACAAATTTCTTGAAGAAAAAGGCAAGCAAAACTTTAACCAAGATGAAAGGGAAAAATGAAAGATTTTATCCTTTTAAGTGACCTGCTGTAAAATAACTGCTTCGAAAGATTGCCCGCCCTCCAATTTGTAGATGAGAAAGTTTGCAATCGTGTATCCTTATCAATGCCCGTACTAGTTAATAAAGAGCTATTGTTTTAGAGATGATAAACCACAATGGAATTGTCTTCTAGGATATTGGTGGCATAAAAATTTTCATTTTGTAAACGTCAGCACACTGCATACAGGAACTACTTGGAGGAAAATAACCACATGTTGTAAAAGCTGAATGGTAATCATGTGGCATTTCTCCACTCAGGAAAATAAAATGAAGACATTAAAAGGGAAGACAGTCTAAGTCTAAAGAAGAGGCAGCAAGATCCCCACCTCCCATCCATAAAAAGGGTTTTAATGTGAGAGCTTCAGAGTTACAACCACAGATTGATTTCTCTTTCTAATCAGTCTGTGAAAATGACTCATTCTATTCCTTGGTATTGATATATTGATATTGGTTTTATGGTCCTTGCTATAAAAGTCCTGTCTGGATGGTTGTCTTTAAAAAAATAAAAAGTAATAATCCTATCGTATGTGTGGGAGTAGAGTCAAATAAATTCTTAAGCAATGTCTGTACATTTGAAATGTCCATCAAATTTACTTGAGATGACAAAACACCCAGTAGATTCTTTAACAGTCAGAAAAACGGGCTACAGTATAGTGGATGTCATGAGATACAGCAATCTGCCGATTATATAGCATTTTCAATGCTCATCTCTCTATCTTATCTTTCCTAAGCCCAGCCTCACAGCAACACTTTCCTGTGAGAGGTCAATTACTTCTTGTTGTGGACAACGACCTCAGAGGGGTCATTTGCTGAACTAAAAATGAAGTCTTTAATTACCTTGCTTCACTGATGATTTAAAAAAAAAATCATCTTCCTCCTGCTTTCTATGCCTCTCTCATAAAAAGAAGTGCCAAGGGAAATGCAAAAGCATTGGAGAAATCCACTGTGTTCAAACTGGACATTTGGACAGTTTATTTGTGGAGGTTTGGGGAAAAATGAAAAGAAATCCTCACATACAAAAATAAGTGGTGTTTTCCTGATTTTTATCTTCATGCTGGATGATTAGCCTTGGTGAAAAATAACCAATACTGGCTGAAAAATCTATGATCAATGCCATCTACGATATGCACCTTCCTTCTACCATCAATCACAACTTGGTTCCCTTTCAAGGACTGCAATTCTAAGTTGGACTCTATTTGAAAGTCCAACAAAATCCTCTCAATTTGTAGATCTCAACTGCACAGTTGCCCAAATCTGGTAGGAAACATGTAACTTTCTTAAAGGATTTGTCTAAGTTAAGGTTTCCTCATGCTTCCTAAATTATATATTTTTTTAAGTTAGCTGTAAAGATCTTTCTACAGTGTCATTAAAATCATGAAGAATCAGGTTAGGTTTAACCTTCATAGAATAAACATTTTAAGCTATGCTGTGAGCCAGTGAGTTCAAATTTTTTAAATAGTGGAAAAGAACAGTTCTTCACACACACACACACACACACACACACACACACACACGCTTCAACACAGACATACCAGTAATCTCTCTCAATCCTAGGGAGGACAGTTACAGTGTGACAAGAGAATTATTTTATCTATAATTTCTTTATGGAAGGCAAATACAGAGAGGCAAAAAGCATATGGCAGGTTTTGCATCATTGATTAGAATGGATCATGCATCTTTTTATGTTGTATTTTTTCTCATAAGTTTTCTTACCGGAAGAAGCATTTAAAAGCATTTCTACCCCTACTTCATTAGACGGCCACTCAGTATCAAATCTTAAAAGTTATTATGGGGGTGAGTTGGCATTTGAAATGCAGATATATCTCCAAGTAGAAAACAGAGGTCCCACATGTGTATATCCTTAATGACAGTTTTAGCTACTCCTCTTTCAATAAATGTTCTAAAGGAAAAATATAAAGCTTTGCATCTTACAAAAAATACCTTCAAAAGAGATTCAGTGAGTTGATGACAGATGGTTGTCCACAAAGCACATCAGGAGAGTATTTTGTGTACAAATACTTGAATAGTTTCGGTGAGAATAAGGCTTGTCTTTCCTTTCTGTCTATCCTTGACTGTGTAACAAATTGAGAAATTTTAAATATCTTTAAAAATAAATTTTAAAGATCCCTTAAAAATAGTTTAAAGACCTTTTTCTAAAAGAAATTTTTTAAATTCTTTTAAAATATATTTGGTAGTTTTAAATGCTTGGCACCAGATACTGGGGCATAACCTAGCTCATCACCAGCTTATGTCTTTCATTGTATCGGCACGTTTTATAAATACACACAGTTTGTAAATGTGCTCACTGGCACAAAAGGCAATGGAATAGATGGGTGTATATGTAACTATTTCACTTGTGCAGGTTGGGAAATTATACCCTTTGGAGTTCATGCACATGATGTTAAGAACAACATCAAATAATGCAGTCTCCACACCACCAAAATAAATGAGAAAGAACATTGAAGATACTGGCTAGTCAACATACCTTAAAGGAAAAATAATTATCCTATTTAGATGTGCTCACTAATCAGTACAAATCCTGAGCCAAGCGGGACATTTTTCAAATTCTGAGAACGATTCGAATACCCGTCCCCAGCCCACCAAAGCAACAAGCTCTTTCTGTTTGGAATTGTGATTTTCAAAGATAATTTAACCCTGGATATATCTGGAGCTATGAAATCATAAACCACATCACGTCAGGCAGAATAGTATAATCGTCAAGAGCTGAAGAGTCAGGTTAAGGTGGTTCAGACCCTGACTGCAGTAACTCATATCTGTATATCCTCGGACAAATTAACATCCCTACCACCTGATCTCTTCATCTGAAAAGGAGTTCCATTATAATAGCACTAAGTGTACGATCTTCATCATCATCATTGGGAATTTAAAGGATTTTAATCTAAGGTAACAGATTTCAGCCAATTGTAAAAGAAACTAATTCTCCATTAGCATTTGGATTTTGGATTGTGCCACCTTCTGCAATGACGCCAGAATTCATTCCGACACACTGAATTCAATCTGAGTAGACATAGGAACTACGACTAACATTCATCTTGCAAGCCAAGCACTGACTGTGCTAAGAATTTCACACAGATTTTTTTCATTTTATCCCCACAGTGCCCTTGAGATGAGGTTGTTAGTATCCCCATTTTATAGACATGAAAACTGAGACTCATACAGTTTACATACTAGCCTAAGCTCAGCTAGTAAGAAATGGATCTGTGATATGAACCCTAGCAGTCTAAATCCAGAGCTTTCAGAACCAACCCTCTTATAGCAATCGTCTTAATTTTTTTCAAAGCATAATTTTTAGAGCTCCCTGAAACATTGTCAACTACTAGCTAAATAAATCTTACTTAATTCCAAACAATGTTTCTTAAAATATTATACTGTAGACTGAGAATCAATGAGTTCCTAAATAACAGGTTGCCATATTAGAGCAAAACTACATTTCAAATAGTTGAAAAACTACATTTCATCAGTTGTCTGAAATTTAAGATGAGCCAAGCCAATCGAAAACTTGAAAAGAAAAACTGAGAGGAGGAAAGAAATCAAAATTCTTTACCTGTTACTTGAATTGAGGGGAAGAAGTTGAGAGCCAGAAGCAGCCTGAGGATCATTGTGCTAACGGTGGGCCAGGGCTCCAGCCCCTCCTCCCCGAGGAGCCCAAAGTGTGAGGGCAGCTGAAGATGCACCTGCCAGAGTCTGAGTGTCTCCGTCATCCACAGCCACCACCAACTCAGGGCACATGATCAAGGGACTTAAACCACAAGGCATCATGACTGCAACATTTCACACAGGATATTACATTGTTTTGATGACTTTAGACTTTTCCTCTTCTTTTAAAGACAAGCTTTTCTTGTCATTGAAAAAGAATGTCAGTTACTCTATGATGGGCTGATGAGAATTATTTTCTGTACACAGGTATCAGAGCTTGTGGAATAGGTGCTTGAAACCCACCAAGAATTGAAGGGAAGACAAACAAAGTATTCTCAAAAGAGGAAGAGAACCAACCGCAGCAGAGAGATTTTTTTATAGCATGAGTAGAGATTGTGTCCAAAAGACAACAAGAATTACAGGGTTTGGGAAACATCCCTATCGGTGTTGGGAGGAGTTATAAATATTAGGAATTGAACTTTTGTGTTAGACATAGGTAGCTCTGTGGAGCATTCAGCACACCAGCCTTGGTTTATACCAAGCCTCCCCCAACTCCCTTCCAAGAACTTTGAGGAACACACCCCACACGCAGGTGCCAGCCCAGTGAATATCTGGAAAGGGTTCCCTGAGCAGCGGGAAAGTCAAAAAGTTTCACATATGACACTAGTGTAACCAAAAGCCCCTTTGTATCTCCCTAGGTTCCTCAAGGAACCATTCAAGGTTAAATAAGAGGCATGAACACAGGCTCTCTAGAAGGCTCCCCAAGACCAGTCACCATGCTTCCACAACCCTCTGCTGCTGGCCAGGCCTTCTGCATATACGGCCAACCCACTGGTGGAGCCAACACTGCTCTCCTCATCTGGCCATCCAGGTCAAGATCTTGCACTCACTGGCTTTCTCAAGACCTTTCTCGTAATTTTTCTCCTCCTTTCCTGATAATCTAAGCTTTATATGACTACCCTAATTTGGGCTGTTATGTATTTTTTTAAGATAACCTGTCCTGCTTTTTATTCTGTGAAAGGACATATTTCATATATAAAATTTATTAAAAGATTCATTTTACCTTTTTAATTATTAAAAATAATTATTAAAACAAAACTCATCCATAATCTTACCACCCTGATATAAACACTGTTAGTATTCTGGTCCACTGCCTTCCATAGGTTTTTCTATTAAGAGTTTTATGTATTTAATATTATGTTTTATTTATATTTTCAACAGATATATACTATTATCTGTTATACCATAATCATTTTCCCATGACATGTAAGTATTCTTTATAAACATCAATTTTTAATTGATATATAATATCCCGTCCTATGATTATATCATAAATTATTTAAAAATCCCTTAACGTTCGGGATGCCTGGGTGGCTCCGTCGGTTAGGTGTCCAACTTCTGCTCAGGTCATGATCTCACCGTTCGTGGGTTCAAGCCCTGCATCGGGCTCTGTGCTGACAGCTCAGGGCCTGGAGCCTGCTTCAGATTCTGTGTCTCCTTCTTTCTCTGCCCCTCCCCTGCTCAGGCTCTGTCTCTCTCAGTCTCTCAAAAATAAATGAACATTAAAAAAAAATCCCTTAATGTTCTTACCAACTTTTTGCTATTTTTAAATGCTACTGTGAACATCTTTGATGATCTAGCTACAAGTGGAAAAAGTCTTCATGTCTCTTCCTCCTCATCTGGTAAATGACAGATCAAAAGTATTTTGTCTCCGGACAGACCCTCTTTGTCCTCATTTCAATTTTCTCACAAACAGATCTTGGTGACCCTTTTGTACTGACATATTTCTCTGCACTTTGGAACAATTTGGCAGCAGTTCACTTACACTTCTGAACTAAAAGTAAATGATGAAGTCGTGTCCCCAGTCCTGGAGAAAATTCACTTCTAGAATTTGACCCAGTATTCCTGGCTCTGACCCTCTAGATCTTACCTAGGGCCTGATGTCTTTCCAGGAGCAGTCATAGAAGGCAAGGTACCCTTCTCTAAAAGATAACCCCTATTCTGGAGCCACCAGACTACACAGATCTAGAATTTGAGGCTCTGAAACTCATTACCAGGGTTAAAAATATGTATAGTAGAAACGAAGACCACCCAAACTTTCCAATGACTGATAACAAAGGCTAAGATGTGAGTTAATAACTATTTTCAAGTATACCAAGGATGACGGTATAGCATCTAGTTAATATTGTATCTACGGTAGTGTTTAATAGAATCATATTAAGTAGAAAGAAATAGTGCAGTTATCTGGTCTAATGCCTTTATTTTGCAAAGGAGACTAAAGCCCAGAGAGGATAGATGACTTAATTAAGTAATTAAATGTACTTGATTTTATTACTTGACCAACTTTATTTGGTTTTAATTCTTTAGAATAAAAAGAAACACAAACTTTGACTTCTTGTTTTCAACATGTATCACACAAAAAAAGTAAATCATTTTATTAGAATCCTTTCATATTTCCTCCTGAAATTCAAAAGCATTCACATATACTAAGAAGTAGAAATGATAGAGGTCAAATAAGGGACCCAATTGCAGTACATGGGTACAGTACTGAGACTCTAGCGCATTTCCAATAATAGTAGCAAGCGCTAATGTACCAAGCAGCTTACATGCCTGATCTCATTCAATACTCACACAAACTATAAGGAAGAGGCTATTATTATCCCCATTACACAGATGAGAAGACTGACCCTGAGAGAGGGTTAGGAAGTGTCAGGAAGCAGTGCAGCCAGGATTTGAACCTAGATCTTTCAAACTTGAACCGCTATTCCTTAACCACGGCACTTTACTGACTCCCTGCTTTCAACCCTCCCCAGTGTTGTAAATTCCTTCAGGACCAAAGAATAGGGAATGCGTGTTACGTTTCCATTGCAAGGCATATTTAAGAAGATGTGTTATTAGAACCTGTGTGACTGGAGTATGGAGAGGAAAGGAGCTAGTGGGCCAAGACGGCACTGGGGATATATAAATCCAACTGTGTTTCATAAAACAGCACATGTACTTTTCTGGAGAAACTCCAGATTCCTTAAATCCGTACATGCTCTTGAAATGCAAGGACATATGCAACGTGATGAAACAAATGACCTTACTCAATCAACAAGTATACTGAAGTCCCAACTACATGGCTTGTAGAAAAAAATATAATACAAGTGTCCAAATTATATAGGCTATTTGAAACCTAATAGGAAATAAGGCTAGGGGTAAGAGCCTGGGGGGAAGAAAAGAATCTCAGAGCATGTAAGATTGTGATGTAATATATATTTTGGTCTTTGTCCTTGGCTCCTGGCAATAGCTCCTAAAACTCTTGTGATTTCCTAATCAATGAAGTTGCTAGGAGCATCTTCTGTTTTAATATTTGGGTCTTTGACCCTAGTTTCTGACACACAGCTCTTAAATCCTGTGGAATTTCCTGGGTGGTAGGAGCATCTTATATTCTAAGGAGGCAACTTTTGGTAGGTTCCTGGATAGTTTTAGGATGGGGGCAGTTCACCAGAAAGATCAAGCTATGATTAGAAGCTTAGCCCCTATCCTCTGGGGAGGGAAGAACAGTTAGAGATTGAGTTAATGATTGGTTATGCATATATGATGAAGCCTTTGTAAATATCCCTGAAATTCAGGGTTCAAGGAGCTTCTGAGCTGGTAAACATATCACAAGCAAGGAGGGTGATGCACCCTAAATCCACAGAGACAGAATCTCCAGAACTTAGAATCCAGGCCTCACCTTATATATCTCTTCATCTGGCTATTCATTTGCATCCTCTGTCATATCCTTTATTACATAATAAACTGGTAAGTAAGTGTTTTCCTGAGTTCTGTGAGCTGTTCTAGCAAATTATTGACCCTAAGTAAGGAGTCGTAGAAACCCAGTTTACAGGCAAGCCAAACAGAAGTACAAATGGACAACTTGAGACTTAGAATTGGCATCTGAAGTGAAGGAAGTCTCCTGGGACTGAGTCCTTAATTTGTAGGATCTGACACTAACTAAACAGTGTCAGAACTGAATTGAACTGTAGGACATCCAGCTGGTATTGGAGAAATGGTAGGAATAGGGAGAAAATCACACATCTTGAATTCCAATGGCTAAGATTTGAAGTCCTGTGAGTTTAGGGGTCAAATACCTCAGTTGGGCCACTTTGTAGCTACATGATCCTAGAAATTCACAGTCTGAATTCCTCATGTGTAAAATGGAGATGAAAATACCTCACTCAATAAGCTGTTTATATCTCACATAATGTGTAACTCTTCCCACCATCAGGATAGAAATCAGATTTCATGAATCTCCATTTCACCACATTTATAATAGGCTGAATAGATGTTTGTTGGATCAACCAAAATGGATCATTGAATGTATGTTCGGTATATTTATGTGGATTGATTTTACTTCATAGCATGAGCACCACCAGAACTCTTATTTTAGAAATTAGCATAGGGGCGCCTGGGTGGTTCAGTCGTTAAGCCTCCGACTCCAGCTCAGGTCATGATTTGGTCACAATTAGGTCATAATCTCAGGGTTCATGAGCCCAAGCCCCACATCAGGCTCTATGCTCTCAGCATAGGGCCAGTGCTTCAGATCCTTTGTCTCCCCTTCCCTCTCTCTCTCTCTCATTGTCTCTCTCTCTCTCTCAAAAATAAAAAAAAAAAAACATTAAAAAAATAATAATGTTTAAAAAAAGAAATTAGCATAGTATTCTTCCTTGATGCACAATGCTTTAATAGTAACATATACCAGTATAAACTACAAAGTATTACTGAAGAATATAAAGAATTATAGTTGTCAACCCAAACAACGATGAGAAGCCCTGTGGCTCTCTCTAACTCATATAGAGCAAGCCTACCAGGATATTATCTTCTTTGATCTAAATTCCAGCAAGAAACTTGCCTTTCATTTTAGTTTCTAATTCTCCCCAAAACTCTGACTTACAGAGGTTCAAATGCTCACATGGTGATTGTGGGAAAATAATGAAGCCTGAGATTTTCTCTCTGATCTGTGTACTATCACCTCAGCTGTTGGTATGAAAAACTTTAAA